TCTCATTCTCATTTTTTAGATGGTAAACCTGACTCTCATGTGCAAGTTGGTAATGGATATTGATTCCAGGATTGCAAAGTGCTGAGGCGTCAGTTAATTCAACTTAACAACCATTTGGTATGAAACTACAAGGCACTGTGTTCAGGGCTTATGAAAACTGGAAGGGGGAACAACCCTCCTCAATATCTAATACAAGTAGATTAGATTTGATGGTATAAGTAAAAATAAATGAAAACTCTATAACATGACATGAACACAGTGGGGAGAAATGAATCCCAGCAGGAGAGCAGAAATGTAAAACAGGAGTTCTTGTTTCTTACAATTCACTGAGAATGTGTAAGTTGCAGCTTGAAAACCTGTGACTCTGTGGCAAACGTGGAACACACAGCTAAGACCACTACAGTTAGTATGGCTTTCAGCAAATGTGCATAGTACGGTTGCTTTAAGTAATAATGCCACTTACTTGAAGACTGATGAAACCTATAGGTTTGTATTCTTTAAGAGGCTATTTTATTTGCATATGTGGACATTGAAATTACAGGGGATGATTTTTATGTAGACACATTAAAAAAATCAAATGATATTAACACTAGCTCTTTTGAATATGTAATGTATATCATAAAATAGATTGTTAAGTAATCTTCTAAATATGAGATATTTCCTTGAAAGACAGGCTATCCAAATTTGTTTTTCAGCAAAATTACAAATCTCTACCTGCCAAAGAGCCTCAGGTTGCAATCATAAGGACCTACCTTTGGTAGGTAAATATCATTTGATCCTGATTGGCTCATAATTCTAAGGAAATCATGAAATATTGCATTTTCTTGCTTCGTTAGAAAACAAAAGTTAAGTTTGAGTCTTTGTACCATGAATTTATGTAGAAGAGATAATTGAAGAGTCATGTTAAAATATTCAGGAATTAGCTGGGTACTCGTACCTCATGCCTGTAATTCTAGTTATGTGGGAGGTTGAGATTCAGAGGATTGAGGTTTGAGGCCAGGCCAGGTATATAGTTCTTGAGATCCCATCTCCAAGATAACCAGAGCAAAATGGACTGGAGGTGTAGCTGTACCTGTAGAGTGTGTGCTTTGCAAGAATAAAGCCCTGAGTTCAAAACTCCAGACCCCCCAAAAGAAAAAAAATTGAGGAATTTCTAGGAGGTAGGCACCTGCCAGTCCAGGAGGGTATTCAGAACTTTCAGAATCCAGAACAGTGGTGTAGCTTGCAGAGGGGTAAGGAAGCTAATATTTGCTGAGTTACTACTGTGGATCAGACATTGAAATAGATGCATGGTATGGCCGTAGATTCCATCCTATTGGATAGTTTCTGTTTTCTCCTTACTTTCTGTTATTTTTCTCTCCTTTCATCTCCCTCTTTCTTTGCTTTACATAAATAATTTTAAAGTGAATCCCATGATCATGTTATTTCACCCCCTGCCTGATTAATATACATATCTGAGTAATGTGGGCATTTTCTTATATAACCACAATGCCACTGTCACACCCAACAAAATGATAATTCTTTGTTACCACTGATAGCCAGTGTATGATCTAGGCAAACATATTTCTATGGTGGGCTTGTTTGATTTGACTTCTAACACGATGTGATGGTTCATCTTGATTGTTAACCTCATTGGATTATGAGAGAGTGTAGTCAAGCACACCTGTGGGTGTGTCCGAGGAGGCATTCCTAGAGATGATTAACTAGGGGAGGAGGACCACGCTGATGGTGGGAAGCACCAACAGATAGACTGGGGGCCCCCAAATGGCATAAGAGAGGGAAAAGGAGGAGCTGCCTAGCACAGGCCTCCCCTCTGCTTGCTGGGCCCTGTAGGTGAGGAAGGTTGCTTGCTCTGCCATATGCTGCAGCTGCCATGATGCTCTGCCTCCCTGTCGCCCATGGCAACAGAGCAAGCTGTCAGAGACTGAAACTGTGAGCCAAAGTACATCTTTCTGCCTTTTAAATTGTTTCTCTCAGGTGCTTGTGGTAGAGCGTATTCCTAGCAAGCACAGCACAGTCCCCTAGTTCAAACTCCAGTATCGCCACCAAAACAAAAACAAAAACAAAAAACAAAAAACCCAAAAAACTAGTTCACATTGCTCTTTTCCTGCCATTTACTTACTGCAGAAACTGGCTCAGCAACAAAATTTCCACAAATCTACATCTGTCTGTCTGCTTCCTTGTGCTCTTGTTTACTTTGTATTTATTCCTCATATTTCCTGTAAACTGAGTTAGTTCTAGAGACTTGATTGGACAGAAGTTCAACTTTTTTGGCAGGAATTCTCCAAAAGTAGGCTGCATGCATCCTACTGCATCATTACCATGTCTTAGTATCTCGCTTGTGGTGATGTAGACATCAATTGCTTTTGTCTGCTATTATGTAGTTCCTAATTGACGTGTGTGTGTGTGTGTGTGTGTGTGTGTGTGTATTCAACCTAGGTCCTTGTGCATGCTAGCTAAGCATTCTACCACTTGAGCTATACCCTCTAGCTCCTTTTTAAAGTTTTGTTTTCTTGACAGGGTCTGACTGACTACCTTTGCCTGTGTTGATCTCAAACTCTTGATCCTTCTGACTCTGCTCCTGAGTAGCTGGGACTGTAGCCATGCACTATCACTCCCAGCTCTTAATTGACTTTTTAACCAATTGATAATCTTTACCTAAAGTAATTTAATTTTTAGAGTCTGCAAAATGTTAATTTTCTAATTCTAATATCACTTCCACATTTATTAATTGGATTTTTTAATGTTAAAAAATTATTTCCCTCATTAATTTAGGGTAATTGGCTACCCTGAAACTATTCATACAGGAAGGACAGGATGCATTTTTTTTTTCTTATAAATGACAAATTTCTAGATAAGGAGTTAGTGCTTTAGAGGGAACTTTTTTTCGTAGTATAGATGGAGATGCTGAGACTCAGAGATGTCGAGTAAATGTTTTAATATCTCAAATAACTATTAAGGAGCCAAAATAGTATTTGATCCTATATCTCCTGGCCTCAAATGCATGTATCATATCTACTAAACTAAAATGCACCCCTGCCCTCAACCTCTCAATTTCTGACAGCTGGGGGCTGCTACTACAAACATCTCCTGATGCTTTGCCCTTTAGGCTCAAAGAATACACTTTGGCAGGCGTTCTGAGCTGTGCAATCTTAGGCAACACCTAAGAATTTTAGCTCCAAATAGAGGTGCTGGCCTAGACAGGCAAAGATCTGGTAAAGTTAGAAAATGTGTTATAGTCTTTAGTGGAAGAGACTTTTAGGCATCATATTTTGTGCCTACGGCTACTGTAGCAACCAGTGTCTGAGTCATTCTAGGTTATGGTTGGAGCAGATAAATGAGACCCAAACAATTTGGAGAGTGGTCAGATGCTCAGATTTCTTACATCTTAACTCCTAATGTTCACCCATTTCTCCTCCCTCTCACTGTCATTCCAGATTTGAGGCGACAATTTAGCTAACTGCTTAAACATGCTTTTGTAATTCCTTAACCTCATTTGACTGTGGCCCTGGCATTTGTCCCCACCACTCCCCCGGAGCTGGAGTCCTTTAGTATCTTAAGATAGTGCTAAAGAAGCAGAAATCACTTAGGCTAAAATAAATTTAGGAGATTTTCTCAGTTTCAGGTTGTCTAGAATATCTTGGGCTTCTAATGCTAGAGTCTCTACTGACTTGGAAGTTAAGACATTTCCCAAGACTTTGTGCCCCAGCAGTACAAACTCTTTTCTTAGAATGTTCCACTTTTCACTTCTTTCAACATGGCAGCCTACATTAGAAACAAATGGATGAATTACAAACCCTAAAATTACAGATGGGAAGGTTTATGCTATTGTGGCCAGAGGCCCTGTCTCAGTCTCTCATGTAGCTTCAAGTAAAGAAGGCCCACACTTCTGCTATTCCAGATCTGTTCCCAAATTCCTCAGGTACCTACATTTTATATATCATACAGAAAGATGTGTCCTGTTGCCATCCTTGCTTACCTAGGAGCTGTAATTAGTGCCTTGAAAAGATGCCATGGCTGGGAGCAGAGGTCCTCTGAAGTAGTAATCTAGAAGAAACCTTGAGAAGATAAAGTCAAGTAGTGAGAATCCAGGTATTAAAAATGGCAGAGGAGGATGAAGAAATATTCTGTCATTTAGAGCATCCTTTACTTATGTTTATGGATTAGGTTTCTTTAGAGAACATGTGGCCCAGGGTTGTCCAGTAGAACTTTCTGTGATGATAGCATTCCCTTATCTGTGCTGACATTAGCCACATGTCATCACTGAGCGCTTGAGATGTAGCAAGTGCAACTGAAAAACTTAATTTTTAGTTTTATTTAATTTTAATTAACTAAAATTAAATAGCATGTATAGCTAGGGGTTATTGTATTGAACAGCAAAGATCTTGCCCTTGCATTCCTTTTTTTGGCAGCACTGGGGGTTGAACTCATGACTTCATGCTTATTAGGCAGGCACTCTACCACTTGAGCCACAGCCCCAGCCCTATTTTGCTTTAGTTGTTTTATAGATAGGATCTCAAGTTTCTGCTTTGGGTCAGTGTTGGACTATTATTCTTTTACCTATAGTCCAGTTAGCTGGGATTGGATTATAGGTGTGAGCCACAATGCCCATTGGGGCTATCACAAAATTGCTAAAAAAAAGTTCAAGCCACCAATTTCATTAATCTTAGTGATACATTTTCCTTGTGAAATTAGATTTGTAATGGGTTAGAAATCCAAGCCACCTTATGTAAAGACAAACTTTTTATTATGCAAACTAACTTCAAGGGAAAGTGAATTATGCTCAAACTTTGATTTTTATAATTTATATAAATTATATGCTTTAGTTGTGATGGCTCTGTGACAATGTGCAATTTAATACCACTGAAGTATACACTTAGAAATGGTTAAAGTGATAAATTTTATGTTGAGCATATTTTACCACCACACCAGAGGTTACATGCGTTATTTCATCAGGCCTGATTTTGATCTGATTGTGTTAACATTTCCCACTGCCATAGGCCTTGCTGCGGATCTGGTTCTGCACGTACCTGGCTGTAGTGTGTTTCTCTTCGGTGAAGCTGACCTGCCTGAGAAGCGCAGTCCTGTCCAGAGAAGGAAGCAACTGGGCTGGTTCACAGGGCGGGATTTCAGTGCTCTTAGCCTGACTTGGGAGCTACACCTGCCAGAAGATGCGGTTTAACAGGTTCTGTGTGCGATCTTGGTGCAGCTGTATTATATTTTCAAAATTTGATAATAGCATCCTGAGCTCCCCTTATTTGGTCAAGCCCAGCAATGCCAGGAGAGTTACAATAGTGGCCTCTTCTTGTGCCTGGGGAGGGTCTCCTCAGCCCTTACTCTCACCCCCGCCCTGGTAAACTAGAGTCTAGAAGCTCCACCAGTTTACTCGATGCTCCCCCACCACCCAGGAGTGATAGGGAGCCATACAGCATGACCATGCAGGATGAGAATGGATGCAGCTTCTGGCATAGGGAGCATCCATCTGTGCCAGGTGTGGGGTTAATCTCTAGGTGTGATGAAGACCTCTGGGGTGGGTGGATAGGGAATTAGGTAGAGGCTCCATCTAGCTGGTAGGAAGGTATTTCAGTACTTGAGCATCCAAGGTTGTGAAGTTGGGGCTTACAGCTAGACATCAATTCTAAAGGTACCCTGGAGCAAAGCTTTTCTAGACAATGGGTTTATAGAACAGAAGCACAAATAATAAAGGTATTTCCTTCCCTGGATTTTAGCAACTCTTGCCTCCCTTTGCCACTTCAGCCCTATCTCTCATCAATTAATTACATATGGTTGGGATAATCCGTATCTCCCCATTGTCATCTTGTTTGTACCATTTGATTTGAAATGGAAGACCTATAGGGATTTCTGATTTTTTTTCTCTATTTTATTCCACATGGAGATCAGTGATTTATACACCCTGTAGAGAAAAGGCAACACCTGTCTCTATTACCTACACTCTACCATCCTAGTTTGAGTCTTAATTTTTTTCATTCTCAATTATCCTCTGTAAGTGTAAAAAATTAGATAAAGTCACATTTTGGTAGTCAGTTAATACCTTGGCAGTTACTAAAATACCAGATAACTAAGGGATAGGAAGTGGATGAATCTAAGAACCACATTTCTTGTAGTGCAACACTGCCAAAGCTTTCAGAATCATTTATGCATAGACCTTTTGTTACTCACCCCAGAATTCTGCCCTTAAATGATAATGCTGACCTTGCTGTTTAGTGGCTTTGTGATCCTCACTTCCCATATCTAAAAAGTGGGCATAATAATAGTGTTTCTCTGTGAATATTGTGAAGTTGAATGATGTCTGTACCATGCTAAGGGCTACTAAATGCTACCGCAGTACCAAGGGGTCATTTTTTCTTCCCCTTAAAGTAAACATTTGTGAAAATGTTGTAGATGTTTTTTGTTCAGTATTTTTGCTATAGAGAAAAGAAGAAACTGATTGCTGTCTGCCAATTTGTCATGTTTTTCCATGATTTGTCTCACAAATGGTGAAGTGTAAATTTTATGACTAAATTTTCAGAGATCTATTTCCTAGTTTCTACTTTGAGGCTCCCTAAAGGCTGAAGGGATTACACCACAAATGTAGTCAATTCAATGCCAGGTAGGCTGGGATTACAGTCAAGTGGACAAGATTCAGGGAGAAGCAAACTGGTAACTAGTTTCCAGGTTAGTTTAAGCAAACACTTGTATAATTTAATTCTTGTTTTTGTTGTGCTATTAGAATAACACAACTTGATATAAAAGTCATATATGAGTTAAAGACCAAATGCCCTGTGTTCGATCCCCAGTACTGCCAAAAAAAAAGACAAAATGCAATATTATCACTAACCATATTTAGTCTCCCAAGAACAAGCTTGATGTGTAATTATTTAAACCAAAGCAAACATTGCTTTCCTGTCTCATCAACTAATTACATATGGTTGGGATAATCTGTATCTCCCATTGTCATCTTGTTTGTATTGTTTGATTTGAAATGGATGGCCTATAGGGATTTCTGATTTTTTTTCTCTATTTTATTCCACGTGGAGATCTGTGATTTATGCACACAATTTTGTCAAAATTTACAAATCTCAAGTTAAAATTTTATGTTGCCAAAATTGGCACAATATGTTTAAAGATTATACTTTAAAGGTAATAATTAATAGTGGTGATGATGTAGCTAGAGCTACTCTGATGGTAATGTAAACTGAGTTAAGCTTTTTGTGAGTTCATGATTTATACCAAGAACTCTAAAAGTGTACATAACTGCCTTTCAGGCAGTTCTAGTGATAAATCCTTAGGAGGTAGTATTAGATACAGATACTTATGATTAAGTATGTTTATCAAAGTATTATTTATAATAGCAAATACTAGAAACAATAGAAGTAAATGTTTGAGCCAGGTGCCTGTGGCTCATGCCTGTAATCCTAGCTACTCAGCAGGAAGAGATCAGGAGGATCATGGTTTGAAGCCAGCCAGGGTGAATAGTTTGTGAGACCCTATCTCGAAAAAACCCTTCACAAAAAGGGTGGTGGAGTGGCTCAAGGTGTAGGCCCTGAGTTCAAGCCCCAGTACTGCAAAAAAAAAAAAAAAAAAGTAAATGTTTGCTCTTTGGAAATGATTAAGTAAACTATGCCATACCCTCAAATATGAAGTTTTGGAAGAATCTTTGGACATGGAAAATATAATTTAATGTAATGTAGTGAGAATTTATAATTAATTAATGTAGCAATATTTATTACGTAACCTGCCAGACAGTATTATCAGTAGTAGAATTTGTATGCTCTCCAAGAACTTATATTGAAGTGAGGAGAGGAGTGAGGAGAAAGATAATAAGTAACAAGCTTAATAAACAATTGAATTAAACAGTATGATGGGAAAAAAATAAGTCCTATAGCCAAAAGGAAAAACATGAACGGAACAAGGGCATTAAGATATCTGGGGTGGGAGTAAATAATAATTTTAAGTAGGATGAACCAAATTAAGCCTCATCATCAAGGCAACATTGGAGCTACTCTTGGAAGGAGTGAGGCCATTAGCCACTGACAGATGTGGAGAAGGGGTTTAGGCAGAGGAAACAGCCATTGTCAAGGCTAAAAGATTTAAAATGGTATAAACAGTGTGATCTCCATATTTTAAAATATATATTTGTATTATATCACATGTAGGAAAAAAATTTTTGAATTCTTAAAGCTTCCAACTTATTTTGTCTACATCAAATGATGTGATTATTTCCATCATCTTCCTTGAAGGGTAATTATTCAGGTTTAATTAGTGGTTTTTTTTTTTTTGGTGGTATGGGGGTTGGAACTCAGGGCCTCACATTTGCAAGGCAGGTGCTGTACCACTTGAGCCATTCTACCTGCCCTCTTTTGCATTGGGTATTTTCAAGACAGGGTCTTGTGAACGATCCACCCAGGCTGGCTTGGAACAGGAATCTTCCTGATTTGTGCCTCCTGAGTAGCTAGGATAACAGGCGTGAGCCACTGGCACCCACTAATTTTTATCAATTCTTTCAATTCATTCATCCAGATTAGATTTGATGGAGGATTGGTGATGCGAAGGGGAAAACAGTACAGCTTCTCCCCAGATATCTTTTTTCCTTAATCTGTGCTGACAAAAGGTTAAAAAAAATCCTTAGTTTGTATAAGAAATGTGAAAATTTCAAGTTGCCAAGTTCAGGCAAAACATTGTCCACCTTTCATTTAATAGGCTTAACGCAGATGCTACTAACAGAAAAATAAAATTTTTGAAGGAAGGATAATTAGTTTCTAATATTCTGTAAGCCAGATAGTAATGCAAGTTTAAGGCTGTTAACTAAAATCTTAGATGATCTTAATTGTACATATTCTTTTTCCTTAAGAGTTTTTATCTAGAAGGGAGTAAATTGCTTTCGTCTTTTGAAGTAATAGTCAATGAAGTAAGTTTTTAACACGTCTTTCATTTGAGTAGAAAAGTTATCCATCTAATTTTTCAATTAATTTGTTTACCAATAACAGTGATCCCCTTCCTTTTTAATTTAGTGGTTTTGCATATACTTTTCTAACCTTGGGTTTTAAAAAAAAATTTTGTCAGTGTTTCTTAACATATTTTTCCATTCCTCCCATTAAAACGGAAAAACCTTAATACATGTTGCTATGTTTATTTCTTTTTCTGAAAAAATTAAATAGAACTGATTAGTGCTATCATCTGAACATTATCATCAACATTCCAGTGACAAATTAATTTATACAGTACCAGCAAGGAAGCAGAATCTATAAGGGAACAGGTTTCTGTTTTGAAGTTCCCAAGGAATATTATAAACAGAAAAGAAAAAAAGTGTGCTCAGAGATGCTTAACACCCCTCTCCAGGGCCAAACACACAAAATCTTTTCAGCTAAATTCCTTCTACAGGTTTGCAATTGGCCAGCTCAAGGGGAACATAAGTAAGAGCAAAGCAGTAATAGTGGATACTTTTAGGTCTATAAATAAATACTTTATACAGATAGGTATTTAAACCCTAAACACTTATGGGATAATTTAAACATTGCTGTCAGTTACTTTGTAGGAATAGCCTGGATTTGTGCATCATTGTTTAAAAATATAGGGAAAACTTCTTTGAACGAGAGTTTCAAATGATGCCTTAGGAATCATACACAGAGGCAGTTGGTACATCTTAGAATCAGGAGTTTCTGTTTGGCAATTTCAATGGAGTATGAGAGCTTCCCTTGCTTATTATCTTCCACTATAAATAAGAAATATATCATCAGGCACATCTGGACATGTAATAATCCAATTTACACCACATTTACCAAACATTTACCTGGTCTTTGAAAAATAATCCTAATTTTAAAATAAGTCTTATTATTTCTGATGCTTGCCAGTAAGCCCACTTGGGTTCATGGAAAGAAGTCATTCTGCAATTAAGTACAGAGCCTGTAATTGATGCATGAGCACTGCAACTTTGCATGAACTCAGGAAGGGCACTCTTCTACTGTGCAAAAACCTAGGAGTGGACAGGCCACCAGTGGTCCCCACGGCTGATGTCATTACATGATATTAAGTGCACCCACTTTTGTAACTACTTCTCTTGAATTACTGTTATTCTGAAAGATTTCAAATCTATAAATTGAGATTCACAGTTCTTCCTAAAGTGGGAACATGTCATATCCACTTTGCAGACATCTCTGAGCAGAGGCAATGTCCTCTTGA